ATCAGGAAGACGTGGTTCCCAAGCCCGTTCTGCAGAAAGACGGCGAAGGGGACGCCTAAAGATCCTATAGTTATAATTGTAGTTCTTACTTTCGAGCATTTATTTTAATTAGTTTATTCCCTCATTTGTTGAACACGTTTTGGTATTACGTAAGGGATGTTAATTGCAATGTTTAATACACTTCCGCAAATTCAGATTATTTATCTATATATATGCCTTTCCAATATTAAATTTTTCCGGAGCCGTTACAAAGATATTCATACATAAATTGCCAACAAAATATAACACAAATTAGCTATCTAATGAATGATGTAATACCCATCTATTTGCTTGTGGGGTTGCCATACATAATGCTTAAATGACTAGCCATTTACGTATATTGAAACCCTACAAGGTCGATTTCTTCTTTGTCCTATCCATATCTCCTGCAATTTCACCCGATTAATGGACTATCAGTCACGCTCGTTTTCTCATCTCTTTTACCATTCCACTAATCTCTTCACTATGTGTTCTGGGACCGAACCAAAGTATACAACTATATCTTCATTACCTCCCACGATTACGACACATGTTTTCACGCCACAGTTAAATCCACTATACTTTCAACTTCTAAAAGTTCTCTAGTATTTCTTAGTCCACTCCCATTTTTTGTCCTTGAGAAATTCAATCTGTGAGGTAGCCATCTTAGAGTAGTCTTTGATAAACTTAATTTACAAGCCCAAGATCATAATTCGGTTACTTTTGTGGTGCTTGTCTTTCCATAATTGCTTATACCTTTTTCTGATTCATTTGCAGTTTCCCTTGGCTTATTTTATGCCCCAATAATAGAATTTTTTTGCAGGCTAATTGACATTTCTAGGTTTCAGTATATAGTTGGTGTTCCATTAACTTGGACAATACAAGTCTCAAGTGGCTTACATAATCATCTAGGGACTCACTATATAGAATAATTTCATCCAGATATACCATAATACAATTATCTACATATTTATAAAAAATATCATTCATAATATTACAAAAAGTAGCTGGAGCATTGATGAGCCCAAATGGCATCACAAAAATTTTTACACAACAGGTTTTTCCCTTATCCCCTTAAAATATTCTCACTTAAAAGCAACCAAATCGTAAGTCCAACTTTATCTAATAAATAGCATTGCGCAACGGATTAACCAAGTTTGTAATAACAAGAATATAATATTTATTCTGGATTATGACCTTGTTCAAGACTTTCTAATCCAAATATATCATTAATGTGTTATCATGCTTCTTTTGAAACTACATTTGGGCTCTATAGGAGGCCTTATATGGTTTAACCAATCTAATATCCAATATCTTAACGTATTTTCATGCTTTCACAACTCTTGTAATTCAAGAGGAGACATCCTATATAGGGCATTGGGAAGGGCCTTTATTCTAGCAAATAGTTTTATCTTGTGGTCTATGTCCTTCGTTAGTGACAACTACTTGGACAATTTTAGTGGCATAACATTTAAATACTCCTTAAGGAGTTTAGCTACACAATCCAAAACTTCAACATATTGGTCCAACCTTATCTCTACTAAGGCAATCAAGAAAGTTTCCTCCCTTATCTTCACAACTCTTAACCTGAACAACAAATAATAGTGTTGGTTAGGCCTCTTTCACTTTAGAACCATATTACATAAAACCTTCAAAGAAATAGGGTTCTTTAGCATTTCTTATAAGCATACCTGACAGAAAAGAGATTCCTCTTACCTTGGCAACTACTAAAAATATGAAGCTAAAAATAATATTAAAGTCTTCTAAGGATATGACACTTAAATCACGTTCTATCCCCCACTTTCCATGATCCACCAACATATTTCTCGCCACCTCAAGAACTTTTCTTATTGGAAAATTCACTGATTTTACTCTTGTGGCACTATGGGCCATAGTTATGTCAAGGGATTTTACCATCTTTTCAAACAAGAAAGAGTGGGTTGCACTAGTATTTGCCAATTTACTAGCACATTAACATAATCCTTTAAGTTTATGGGCAAGGTTACCTAATAATACATAGAGAAATTATAGTGGGTTAATGTCCAATGCCTCTTCTCACTCATGGGTCTCTAAAGGGCCTACCTTCGATAGGAGAGCTATGAGTTTGCCTCTCTTCAGACAATCTTTGGTAATAACGATGACCATCATAGATGAAGCAACTAGGGGACTTGTTCCTTTTCATGAAGGATTTTCTCTTTGTTTTCCTCTTATCTTATTTCTCTCTGGTTTTTTATCAAACTACTTGCTCTTCTTTTTCTTATTCTTTTATTTCTTCTTCGACTTTCCCTCTTGAAATCAATACGAGGTTATCCGCATCAACCATACTCGACAAGTCATGAATTTATATGGAAAAAATATCTTTATTACTCTTTACACTTAGAAATCTTTAAAAAAAAAAAAAAGAAACCTCTTTACACCTTATTACTCTAATTTCCTATATTCTATGTTTGTGTATTCATATAAAAACATCCCAAAATGTTTGGCCATGTTTTGAGATTCCACGTGAATTGCAGGACAAAAATATCCTTTGCGGTGACAGCAAGATTGTCCTTGATTAATGGATGGATGGAACTTGTAACAACTGCTCCACCACAAATATACCTCCATCAACGTGTCAACCATTATGTCCAGTAACACCAAATTTCCATACACTCGCCTCTCCCACCACACCTTTCCCCTTTCTATATACATCAGCCTCGTCACTCTCGTCTATTCACCTTCTTCTATCTTCCCCACAAACAATCTCTCTGCAGCTTCCTGCTTCTCAACACAGTTTTACGCGTTTTCTCATGGCTCTCTCACGCTCCATGCTCCTCTTCACCATCTCACTGGCTCTCCTAACATCTTCCATAGCTCAATTACCCCCAGCAATGTCCCCAACAATGCCACCATCTGCAACTATGACTCCCCCTCCGATGGCGACCATGACTCCTCCTCCAATGGCCACCATGACTCCTCCTCCGATGGCCCCCATGACTCCTCCTCCGATGGCGTCTTCACCACCGCCCATGTCTGCTCCAGCTCCCTCAATGGTCGAACCAACTCCAATGAGCCCAGGCCCATCGGCAACAGCTTCACCGCCTTCGCCGATGGCACCTTCTCCATCAGGAGGAGAAAATACTCCTGGAAGTTCACCTGCTCCAGCCATGTCCGAGCCTGCTACGCCACCTTCGGGAGCTTTCTTCCATGGAAGCAGCTTGGGCTTGTTAGCAGTGGGCGCAGGAGTTGCGGCACTGTTTGTTTAGAGATCAATCATTCACTGGGTCGGTTCTGATTTAGTTAAAAGTTCGATATTGATTTGTGTATTCCATTTTTTTTTTTTTTTTTTGTCTCAGAAAATTTTTCATTCGCTGGCTGCGGCCTCTTTTGTAGCATTTTGAGTGAAGGTGAATAAGACTGATATTTCATATTTGTGATTTCTTGTTTGTAAATTTTGTGTGTCAATTGTTGTTGGAACTTTCTTAATCATGTTTGATTTTTCTTTTTTCATTGTAAATATTTTTGGTTTTTTTTTAAACTTAATTTAAGTCCCAATTTTTTGTATTAATTTCAACATACATAATATATTTTATATTTATCATCCTGACCAAGAGTTGAATTTTCACTCCAGTAAAGTAATGCTGTTATATTTTTGTGTCAAGAATAATAAAAAAGAATTAGAAGAAAATTAAAAAAAGAAAAAGAAAGAAATGGCATATCATAATCTTATACCAAAGTTTATGCTCATCCAAACAACATGAAGCAAAAACAGTCTTTGAGGAAATCAATACATACATGTAAATGTATATAGGGGCAGCTTTGTGTCACAATATTTGTTAATTAATTTTGGTAGTTAGTGGGATGAGAGAGTTGGGCAATTTGGGGGGAGAAAAAGGTATCATTGCTAGCTTGTTAAGGTAGAATCTTCATGTTCTTGAGGGGGTGGGGGGAAAAAGCAGTGGTGCTCATTTTACCACTTTTTTTTTTTGTTTTCTCCCTTGGAATCCCCCTCACCATTCCCCCAGTTTGTTAGGAATTAAAGAATTGGGATAAGAGTAGTATGGTTATATTATTTTTAATATTCTACAATAATTTAGTTATTTTTGTTCTTAACTATATAACTAGACTTTAACTATATTATATTTTTGTTTTTATTATCCCATGAAAATCTTTATGTATATTATATTATATTTAAAAAATATATATTATAAAAGTATATAGGAATTAAATTGAGATAGGAGGGTGAAGGAGAAGGAAGGGTGTTAGTGGTGGAGGACACAGAGGAGATAAGGGTATAAGTGATGATAGGACAGAGTGAGACTCGTTATCAAAGATAAAATCAAGTGTAGGTGTTAGAAAGTGATGTGCACATGGGGTGTGTTAGCCCCACAACAAACACTCCTATTTCTACTCACAGAAAATATCCTTTCCAGTTTTTTAGGTATTCTTACCCTAACTTTCTCTGCCCTGAAGAAGAGATTCTTGCCACTAAATTTAAATAGGAAAAAATCTGCATAATAACAATAAACTTCCAATTGACTTTATTTGAAACTGTATCATCAAGCCTCAGGAGTTACTAGTAAATCTTTGTTCAGTATGGAATGGTTAAGATTATTTTGAAGAAGTTCACAAAAAATTTGCAATCGACTAGATTCAAAACTGTCATCTAACCTCAGAAGATACTGGTAAATCTTTATAAAGGTATGGTTAAGTTTGTTTTGAAGAAGTTCACAAAACCTTTTTCTAAAGTTTTTTAATCCCATCAGCTTGGTAAAGAATTTTAGTCTTAAACTACAATGACTGATTTGTGAAAGAAGCATAAAATCATTAGAAATAGAGGAAATCTTCTCATTTTTTTATTTGATCTAGACAGTGGACTGAAGATTTTCAAGAGAGAAAACAAGGGGCAATAACAAAAAATTTCAATTGCAGAGATTAAATATTTCAAGAACTCATCAGAGCAAAATAAAATGCCATTCAATCAACAAAAACTTGCACTGTGCTTCACTCCTGAAGGTTTTCTTTAAAAGAGCGTAAAACTCCTCAAAAGGTCTCTGTATTCTATATTTAATCAGGTGACTCAAATTTTCCAAAGGGACCGAGATATATATATATATATATGTGTGTGTATATACTCTTCTTCTCACCTTTACTCTCATTACATAGTCCATGAGCATCAGTCCCTCACAGTTCAGTAACAAAATTACGCTCAACTCCCAAAATCCGAGGTTGAATCCGTTAAGATACTTCCTGCCATAAGTATCTATTTTCTCCTCTGTTTCCTTCGGCACTCAAAACAATCAATACATGGACTTCTGCTGCTTCTACCCGAGTAACTGGCTTTTAGCTTGTTTGGCGGTACTTTCAGTTCTTCTACTAGTATCCTTTGAAGCTTCTCATTATCCTCCACAAGATCCTCTATTATCTGCTGATGCTTCAACACCTGAAAAATGAGATGCTTTAAATCATCAGTTCATTCCTATTATATAAAGGATAAAATTTTTAATCTGTATTATAATGCATCATTAACATTATTATTTTTTTACTATTAGGATCAGACAACCTAAGTCTTGTCAGACTAGAAATCTACATGCTCATATAGGCTATGCCTCATACTTTGTAATATTGCAAATAGTATATAGGTTTGACAAATAAATCAACTTCAATATTTTTCATACCCATTCATTATATCCATCAAATGTCTTAAACTAAAAGAAAAAAAAAATCACTAACAAGAAAGTTCGTAAACTCATTTTAGAAACAAGTACTGCATTGGAGTTCCAGAATCCAAGAGAAACTCCAGTTGTCATGGAAAATAGTTGTTATGCAGTGTGCCTCCTGGCAAAACTTTATGAAGTTCCTACAAGGGATTATCACTATTTGCTTTAGCAATGCGATCAAACTAAACCAAATACTTGGAAACTACTAGTGACTATGAGATATTACCATTTGAAGCAAGCGATTTTCAGAATGCAAGTGTCCAACCTAAATCAGGCAAAAAAAAACGAGTTAGGATCCTCTAGCAAATTCAAACAACAGTCTGATAAAAAAACCAAAAAAGGGAAGCTTCAGAAGAATTTCCTATGTCCTGTTAAGATGCCTTGGAACACAACAGGAATCTAGTTTCAAATTCTCTTCGGTTTACATAGTTCTCCGGTAAGGAATGCATAGAACAGTGAAGTTATGGTTCTACCTCTTGAAACAAAATATAGGAAACAAAGAATTTTTATTTACCAATTCAACAATGGATAAAATGCTCCAACTTCGGATTAAACAAACAGTAACAATTACCTATAATTGGTTCACTCAATTAACAAATAAATAAGGCAATCATCTCACTTAGAACAGAAAAAGTGAAAAAACTACATAATTTAAACACATCCATGCTTACATCCTTATAATACAACACTACACAGGATTATGAACTCACAACACGGATTGTTTACCCGATAGTTTGCCAGAAATCAGCACAATTTTATTCCCCAAGACCAAACGAGAATTGTGCTACTCTCCAACCACCACAAATTCTAGTTTTCTTCTTTTGTTTAGAAAGTAAAACTACTTTCCAAATTATAGCTAACCTCATAAGTACTCTTTTTTAGTAAAAAAATTATGTAGTTACTTTTTCTAACTACAGAATCACTAATGTGATAGTCCTTAATTCCCGCAACAGCTAGAATATATAAATTTGACCTTCTATTAAAATTCCCACCGAGTTGTTTTCCTTTTTGGACCTCAAAAAGATTCCAGTTTAGATTCTGGCCCCATGATTTGAAACTTACACAACTTAAAGCCAGAAATAAGAGATGAAAAGATCCACATTGATGAGATATATAAAATATGATGACTTAGAAAGAGTTCCTGAAAGACCTCAAATGGCAAGTGCATCAGAACATACTAGCTCATTTACGTTAGAATCCACTTCCTTCAAAGCTGGATTGTGCAGAAAATTATTGAGAACCTTCTCTGTTCTACTGTCAAAAGCTGCATTGCCCAGATTATCTTCTGATACAAATTTGTCATCAGTAGAATTTCCACGTACATTTCCATATCCAGGCAAGATTTGAGAAGTGCTTTCTGGTATCTTTGTGGCTGTTGGCACAGTACTTCCCATGGCGTTTTGATTCGAGGGTTTACTGGTCATGCTCATACCACTTTGGAAAGATCCAGGAAGAGCAACTTGATCAATGGGTAAATTAGGTGTCATTCCAAACTTGGTTGTCAATTTTGTCATTGCTTGCTAGAAAATTTAAATTTTAGTTTCAAGTACGTGAATAAAACAGAATAACATTTGATATTTCACTTTAAGAAAAGTTCATACTTACTACAAGAGAAGATTGAATTTGATGCAATACCCAAGGCTTCACAGCAAGGCCTGCAATTAATATCATACTTACCAATCAAAAAGATTGCTAATTTGTACACTTTATGCAACCTGAAAGTTCAAGACCTAATAGCATCAGGTCAAAATGTATCTGTTATTTAAAAAAATGCATGTCTTTCAAATTGCACAAATAGGTAAATGCTTCATGGTGCTGCCTGAAAATTGTACTATATATCTAACAACAACAATAGCCTAGAAAAAAAAATGATACATAAAAAGAAATCCAACAAATAATAAATAGGCCAAAGTGCATTCTGGCTCCTTACATAGTTTTTAGACTGCTTACAAGTTAGTTCCAAAGGAGGAATGTAGCCCATTACATTTGATTTTGTCATGAACAACATGCTTGCATTCATTAGATTCAATTACAAATGACTTCACTAAAACAAGTGGTCGTATTCAAGTTTTAAGGGAGTTTCTTGAATAGTCCTACATCAAATTCAAATGAGTGTTACTATTGACTTTAATGCTTGTTACTTACACCATTCATCTATCGGATTTAATTAGAAGTTCAAAAAAAGAATATCCACATGTACTACAGTCAGTATCATTTAATCATGCAGCTTATTTATTCCATAGACTATATAGCATATGAAATACCTACTCCAAAACCATAGCCAAAACCAACTCCGCATCCAATCCCTGCTTCAATGTTATTAGCTCCCAACTTCCTTAACTAACACATGACAATAAGAGATAAGTAGAGCTTGAAATACTAAATATACAAAATAAAGTAGTTTCAACAAACAAGGTAAACCACATATTTGACTTACAGCACTATTTACATGTCGGCTAACACCAGAAAATGCATCTGTTGCACCCCTGGTTGCACTCATAACTTGCCCAATCATTGGTATTGCACCTGATATGGAAAGTCCCATTCAATCAAAACATCTAAAAATAGTTAAGAAAACATCACGATAGAAAAAGGAATGTAAAGTTTTGGAATAAGATTCTCATTATCTCAAAAAGAAAACCCATTCACCTAACACTAGTCCAACTTCACCCCATGAAATTGGGATGTTTATTTATTTCCAAACAATTATAAGCAGATATATCCTCTATATTTCAAAATTGGAATTTAATTTCTCACATTTGGGCATTCCAGATGGGAAAAGGGAAAACAAGAGAGTTAGTGAGTTAACCTATTCTGAAAGCCACTCCATAATATCACTGTATTTTAACACTTGACAATAGCTTACCAAGTTGCTTGTGATCCAAATCATTCAGAAAATCTTACGGATGCATTGAGCATAAACCCCAACAATAAAATGGACAATATTTAGCATGTGACTAGGGAATAGCAGTTTTGAATGCAACAAGAAAGTGCCAATAAAATGAAACTAAAGAGTGCAAAAGAACAAACACAAGAAAGCAGTATTGGGATGAAAAAGATGATATCAGGGCAACTAACAGAAAGAATACTCAGTCAGTTTGACCAAATGCGCAAGTTATGAAAAATTACCGTACCAATGAGAAGTGATATAATGTAGTTGAAAGTATTGCAAAACTGGAAGCTAAAAAGTGATCCAAGCTGATGAAGCTTAAAAATAAAAAATTGCAACTGGTATAACTCTGATCAAATTAGATTAATCAAGCCCTTGAATAGCTTAGGGATTCTCACTGAAAAAAAATCAAGGAAAAAAAACTCAATTGATTGAAAAAAAAAAGGAAAGGATTTCAATGATCATTACAGATTGGCCAAGTGATAGTGCAATGCAACTCTCTCTTCTCACATCTCTAACCTAACTGGTTGGATACGTTACTAGCGCCAAATTATTTTTGTTGATGGAAACAAAAGTGAAAGACAGAACTGAAGACCCTAACCAACCACTTCAATTCTATTGATTATATCCTTGGGAACAAATAAATATTAATATGGCTGGAATTTTCATGGTTCAGACTTCCTTGGCCTCCAGTGTAACACCTTTTCCCAGATGCCAGCTGGAACCTAAGCACAGATGGCTTAAAAAGTAAGAACTTTCAGAGGGACACAAAATTTTAGATACTCCTCCATCCATCAAGATGATTCAAGGTCTTCTTTTGGTGTAGGCCTCTGGATAAACAAGGACGAAACATCTCACTTAAGTATGCCTCTTGCCGAAGGCAGCAAATGAGGTCAATCTTCATGATCAACAATTAAATAAATGATGAAACAACTCCTCCAGATTTGTATAACCTGGTGGAAACTGATCCTAACCAACAGTTGCCAAAGATATCCAGTAGGTCCTGGGGTTGTGATCCAGTTGTCCAGTTCACTTAAAAACAAAGTAACAGTTAATTCTTATATAACTTGGCTCAGCAGTCCAGTTCACTTAAAAACAAAGTAACAGTTATTCTCATATAACTTGGCTCATTTAAATACTACTACCTTTGAGTTCCTTAAAGAGCAGCTTGTGTGAAACAAGTTTAAATCTGGACTGACCTCATAACCTGAAATATCTTTTAAACTGCACCAAAATAGACTCCCGCCAGATTCTCCATTCTCAATATCATATTTTAGTGATTACAAACAGATGACACAGCCCAGCTAATTGTACATTCAATTCTCAAAAGTTAATGGAACTTAAAATCCCTTAGCAATTAACAAACAGATGACACCTTCCAAGCCAATTAAATTTGGGGACTGAACTCTTCCCTTTGGATGAAATAATTTTGATGTTAGTATGTAGAGGAAACAGGACCCAACAGATTTGAGTGGCTTCCGAATGCACGTAGTTTGATCCAGAGTCTCTTAAACATGCAAAAATAACTAATAATAGATCTCATTTTAACAAAGCCCACATCTTTCATCTAGTCTTACATACAATATCACATTAAGTAAAATCTTATGAAAATGACCGAATAAATCTCTGTTTAAACACTGTGAACTGTAAAGGAAAGCACCTGTAATTGTTTCTACCAACTCAAAGACTCAAAAAGAATAATCTTCTCCATTTCCTGATCTATTATATGCAAATACTTTCCTAGCAATGCAATTTTTGATGGGTCTCGCCATTTTTGGGCTCAAACAATCCTTCCATGTTCGTTCTAGCAACTGAGGAGAAGACTATTTCGAAAAAGAAGAAGATAGAGAAAGAAGAAGTACCGAGATTTACGGGGCGACCAACACCGATGCCAACACCACAACCAATGCCGAAGCCTGTAAATACTTGACCGACCTTGAAAGTAAAAGGATTCTCTATGCGGATTCCTCTCTGGAAAACCTTTCCTTGATTGGTCGCCACCATCTCATTGCTACTCTTATTACTCTCCATTTCTGCAACCAAAAAAAAGAAAAAAGCTAAAACCCTTCTCTATCTCTCTCCCCAAGCATCCAGTTATCAATTTTCTAAATTCCCTTTCATTCAAGACTCAAATTTCTGCCTCTGTTATTTTGCTAGGGAAAAAGCAGAAGAGTAAACGGATGCTTGCGATGACAAACAATTTCTTGCAGTTGGATGGTTGAAAGGGAAAGTTAAATCTTCGGTGGTATGCTGCAAAGAGTTTTGTGTAGTTTGCTCTTCCTTCCCAGTTGAAATATTTTCCCAAGCAGGCTTCTAGCCAAATATAAACACCCAATTTCGCAGCAAGTGAGGTTTTTGGTTACTCCAACAATGGAGGTTAGTTTTCATTTGGGTTTTGGGGTGTGTGTGTGTATACATATATACATGTTTTAAAATTATAATGTTCACACTTGCAAATTGCAATACGAAAGCATTTTCCATTTTTTTATTTATAATATCCAATTCCACTGTATATTAGAGAATATCTTACTCTTCAGTTAATTTTTGTAAAAGCATACAAATAATCATAAAAAAAAAAAAAAATACAGAGACACATTTGACCTTCAACTAAAATATGCATAAACAAGAGTTTAAAATTTATTTTATAAAATATATTTAAGAGTGAATTTTTAAATTAAAATTTTTAAAAAATATAAAAATTTTATGTTTATTCGTACCAAAATTGATCTTTGTTGATTAAATTTTTAAATATATTTATGTTTGAATTTTTACACAAAATTTTAACAAAATTGAAAAAATAAATTCCCTTAACTTTTTTCTTCTCTTTTGGTGTGCGTGCAACTAAGTTTTTTCTTCTCTTCTCTAATTTTTGCAACCCCCACTCATATATATATATATATTGTACATATATTGTAACGGTCTCGGAAATTAAAAAGAAATGTATATATATTTATTTTAAGTGCGGAAGCGAAATAAAATAAATTATTATTAACATCCCTTACACAATAACTAAAATGAATTAAAGTATGAAAGAATAAACTAACTTAAAGTAAATATTATGAAAGAATGCTGTAAGGAAACTAATAAATTCTTTGGCTTCTACTCGCCGTCTTCTTGCAGAACGGGTTCGGGAACTAAGTCCTCCTGATCTGAAATGGTTAAGTAATGAATGAGCTACAGTAACCTAGTAAAAACATCATACTATCTCACTGTCATAAAAGTAAATATTGGTAGAAAACGAAAACAACCAATGAAGTATAATTTATAATAAACTCATTTATTAATAATAAAACCCTTTACTGTCCACCTACCTCGGTGATATTCATAAAAACAATTTATGAAAATAATTATATCATAAATATCATAAGATCACGCACACTCTGCAACATAACACATATCATGCTTTTGTATTTCAATCATCAGATAACAATTATCCCCTTTTTTATCAGCCTACTAGTATCCATGAGGATCCATAGGGGGTCCCCACTACACGTGAACCATTCACATTAATAACTTAATTTCAGGGCCGTCCCCATACCCCGTCCGGTATGAGCACCAAAACCATAAACCTCAATACTCCGTCTGGTATGAGAATGAAACAGGCCGTCCCCATACCCCGTCCGGTATGCGCACCAAAATACATAAAGTCTCCATACCCCATCCAATATGAGAGACCATGTTCCTAATAGGATTCCTTATCGACCCGGTCCGTCCACCATCTCCCAGGATATCTAGTGAAGCTGTCGACATTATCCATTATCAATTCACATACTTTTTTTACCATTTTTCTTAATCTCAATTATCCAATCAAACACAAACACGTAAACCAGTAATGGACACCAAACAAGGCAACACAACATCGGGTTCACAATAATTCAAAGCATAATAAATAAAACTGTGATTCATGCATACAAAACCATAGAATAAACACATCAGGCACCATACTGCATTAAAAACTACAAAATAAATCAAACAACACCTGACTGAGAATATCATATTCGGGCTCCATTAGCAACCTTAATCAATTATACATATCTATTAATTCATAAAATACTATTTTATCATTAATTAGGCTTTAATACTGTGATAGGAAATAGGGTTAGAGATCCTTACTTGTTTCGGAGTCTGAAATGGGGTTCTCACTGCGCCTACGGGCAGTCCCTAGATTCCCTAAATTTTTCTCCAAAAACTGAAACACACTTCCGGTACCTGCACATGTCCCTAAAAAACTCCAAATCAGACCCAGGGCCCTTTCGACCAATTTCGAAATTCTGGCACGGCAGCTCCGCCGTGCTCCGGCGACGGCACCGCCGCCCATGGCGGCGATTCGCCTCGGGTTGGCCGTTTTCGGCCGAATTCAGCTAAAGTTGCATTAGTTCCTGTGATAAAACACCCCTAGGGCCCTCGGTGGGCCAAAAAATTACAGAAAATCGAGGCTTACCGGTGGCTGGGCTCTTGAGTGCGGCGGCTCCTTCGGCGCGAGTTACGGTTTGGTATTTTACTCTGGTCAACCTGTAGAGAAAAGGACGGTGGTCACGGTGGTATAAAAATTACATCGAATAGGAACCGGGAAGGGCCTCATCAGAGGCAAAAATCAAGAAAACTCGCCGCTGGGCTTCAACTGTGTTTTTCGGGCAATTGGCCGGTGGTTTGGCTCTGATTTGGCTACAGGGAGGTTCAGCATCGAAAAACGAGCTAAGGGGAGAAATTTTACCTCGTTTGGCGACCAGAAAATCCTCCAGTGCGGCGGCAGGTGGCGGCGGCTGGTTCCTCCGGTGGCTGGGTCGTCTTCTCCGACGAGGGTTTTAGCGACTAGAGTTTGGGGTTGGGTGTGGATGAGATTATTTATAACCTTCCCCTTTTAATCTGAACCATTCATCATGATTTAATCTGGGCCGTCCATCGCGATGCGATCTAGGCCGTCTGTGCGTGATCAAATCTGGACCGTCCGCACGCGTGAGATCTGGGTCGTCCACGCGCGCCTTTGACCTGAGCCGTCCGTGCGTGCGGGAACGGATCTGGGCCGTTCGATCGCGCACATGTGGATCGACCACGTGTCTCCGTCCCGCGTGGCTTCCCGCGTCAGCATCCCTGCCACGCGGCGTGTCCTGGTTGGCCGAGGCTGCTGTCCGGGCTGCTGACGTGGCACTATTTTTCTAAATTACGTTTTAACATCCGGTTTTCAGTTTTTTTTTTCAAAAACACCCCCAAAATCTAAATTTTCACCCATTTTTCTCAAAATCAATTTCAATTAAATTCAAAAATTAATTTTACCCCATTTTATTATTATTATTATTTTTATTTCTTTTAAATAATTAAATATTAAATTAAAACCTTGTAAATTAAAATTTAAAATAGAATAAAATTAAACAAAATTTTTTTTAATAAAATAATAAAGGAAAATTTTGGGTGTTACATATATATATATATATATATATTGGTGGCATAAGTAGTTATTAATTTTTATTTAGATTTCTTCCTACACAGGTCCAAATTAATTTGGACTTTCTTTTTACTTTTTTTTTTAGCACCCAATTACATATATATATATGATATATATAATTGTCAAGTCTACCCGTCCAACTTAATTTGTACTCTTTTTTTTTTTTTTTCCCAACAACTGATTATATATATATATTACCTTTTTTATTATTATTTAATAAAATAATTTTATAAATTAATTCAATTTCAAATTAAAGTTTACAATAATTTTCGTTATTATAACCACCGGTTCAATCCGTCTCCTTCCCTACACCTCTGACTGAGCTAAACGCATTGCCCTTTTCCTTGAAACTGAACTCTGTCCCTGCTGACCCGCGCATCCATAAAAAATCCTTCAGCGAAGTGAGGTTCCTCTCAACATTTCTGGTTCACTTCAACGATGTAACTCCTCCTCCTTTCCTTTTCTCTTGAGGAGGCGAAGCTTTCTTTGCCCAAATCGGCATTCCCCCGATGAGACATCCTTCTCAGTCGAAGAAAACTCTCGAACCCGTCCAGAAGTTGAGGATGAAGCTGGTGATGAATTCAGTGCTCAAAAAAGGGTTTAGCCAGATATTATATTATTACACTAATAATATAATAATTAAGAAATATAAATATTAATTTTTTACTTTTAAATTAAAATAATTAATTTATTTAATAAAAATCAGAACATTCATCAGTGTTTACACAGATTCAATACTAAATTAATAATAAATTGGTCAAATTTACTAATCAAAGTTGACATCTAACAATACTCCTTAAAATAAATGACAATATAGAACTTAAACTTATTACCAATATTAAAAAATTTTGTTTTGATCACTTACTAATTCTACAAATATTTAATCACATACGATATACTTTCATGTATAGTTCTATGATTATACGTGTTCGAAAATCAAAATATAATAAATGACTTATTAATTACTATGATGATTTCAGGAAAAAAAAAATTTACATTTTATTATTTTAAAAAAGCATTCTATTAACAGTTTAAAATAATATTAGTCATTAAGAGTTGTCAATTAGATCAGTTCAATAATCATATTTCCATATGCGTAATCTATATAAGTGATTTATTTAATGAGATCAACTAATTTTTATTTTATAGAGATCGTCACATGTATATTTCTTTTATCGAATTATTAATGTTTTATTTTGATGATCAAACGACCAAGAACATTTTAAATTAAATTATAAAAAACTTTTCTTTCGTTATAAAGATCACCATCTTGATGTAAAAATTTTAAATTTAATGAAGAATTTTATTATACAAATTAAATAAAATAATAATAAATATGATAATAAAAATATTATTTACATATATTAAAATAAATTGTCTTCTTATATTTTAAAATATATATATATTAGAATAAATTTTTAAATAAAAATATATTCAATAAATTAGAAGAATAAATAAATAGTATTTTTTTTTTTTATTTTGTATATGTACAATGTTATGGTCTGGTTCAAGTGGATTTTTGAAACAGAAACATAAACTCCTCCCCTCCTTGATTATGCAAATTTAGAAAAACTTGATCCAACTCCACTCAGTTTTGGCTACTCATAAATTTGTTATCATCTATAACTTCTAAGTTGTTGGTCATTCCGGTTAAAAGAAAAGAATTTATTCCTTCCCATAATATTTTTTTTTTTGTCATTTAAAAATATTGATATTTATGTATTTAAATGGTTAATATTTCTTTCATTCTATAATTTGAATAGCAGTATGTATATATATATACACGTATCTTTTGACTCACACAATAAAACATATAAATTTTCATCTTAAAAAAAAAATGTAGAAAATATGAAAAAGTAAGATGTGTCTAATTCTTAAAAGGATTACTGCCTCATACTTCCCCATCCGAGAACTTCCCTTCCTTGTGGTCGAAATTTAACGATAACTTTCTATTTTTCTGTCTTTTTAAAATAATAACTATCACGATCTCACCTCCAAACTAGAAATTTTTCATAACCCACCATTGATATATCCATGGCTGTATCTTCTTCTTCTTCTCTTCTTCTTCTTCTAAACTACACCCCATTACCAACTTATTTCTTTTACGCTTACAATTCTCGGAAGAGAGGATTTTTACAGAGTTGTAATTCTCGATCCAGACTCAGACCCATTTCTCTAGCGCTCGCTAAACCTCAATCTGACGTTCAAGAAGAGGATATTGTTATTGTTGGCGCAGGGATTGCAGGACTTGCCACCGCACTCTCCCTTCACAGGTGGTACCCATATATATATATACACACACACACACACAAATTACTCCCACGAAAGAAAATGGAAAATATTTTGCTAGATCTTTGTGTTCTTTTACTGGAAAATTATTTCATAGATGAAGAAATTTTAGTCTGATGGATATATGTGTGTGTGTGTGTGTATATTTATGATTAGGCTTGGACTTGGGTCATTGGTGCTTGAGCAGGCTGATTCCCTTCGAACTGGTGGGACTTCTCTCACCCTCTTCAAAAATGGATGGCGGGTTTTGGATGCAATCGGAGTTGGAAATGAACTCAGGACCCAGTTTCTGGAGATCCAAGGGTATATTTCCTCCTTTACTTTTCAAATTTTTGTAAAAAAATTGGAAAAACTTTACCTTCAATCTGACAAGTACTTGTATATGGGGATTGAATATAAAGTTTCTGGATAATCTGTTAGTCCACTCTGAGCTTTTTCATGTGATCAGCTGAGCAGGATGGAGATCAGGACGGCAGAGGGAAATGAGCTTCGCTCTTTTAAGTTCAAAGATGAAGATCAAAAGTAATCAATTTTCTTCTATTCTACTTTCTCTCCATCTCAATCATGCCGAAATTATACTGTCCTTGTCGTGATGATGCAGTCAAGAAGTTCGTGCAGTAGAACGAAGAATCCTCTTGGAATCTCTTGCCAACCAGTTACCACCAGACTCTATTCGTTTTTCTTCTAAACTAGAAAACATCATAACCACTGGAAATGGCAAAACCCTTCTAGAATTTGGCGACGGAAAACAGCTGCTTGCAAAGGTTTAACTGATCATCTAATCTCAATGTTCCATATAAATTAATTAAATAGCTAAAAACTTTGATCTATTAGGTTTACAGTGGCTTGTTTGTCCAACTCATCTTTCAAACAGATTGTTATTGCCTGCGATGGAGTCCGGTCTCCAATAGCAAAATGGATGGGTTTCTCTGAGCCTAAGTATGTAGGTCATTGTGCTTTCCGTGGGCTAGGGTTTTACCTGAACGGGCAGCCATTTGAGCCGAAAGTGAACTACATTTATGGAAGAGGACTGCGTGCAGGATATGTTCCTGTTTCTCCGACAAAAGTTTATTGGTTTATCTGCTACAACAGCCCATCTCCAGGTCTGTTCTCCATTTCTTTAATTGAGGTTTGAAAAAGGTTTAGTTTCATTGAGTCTTATCAAGGAGTATCTGGTTCCACAAATGATGATAACTTGATTGATACATTACCCTAATTGCAGGTCCGAAAGTTATGGATCCAGTAGCATTAAAAAAACAAGCTAAAGAGCTAGTAAGAAAGTGGCCTGAGGAGCTATTGAACCTTATAGATCTTTCCCAGGATGAAACAATCAGTAAAACTCCACTTGTAGATCGCTGGCTATGGCCAGGGTTAAGTCCTCCTGCTTCAAAACACAGAGTCGTGCTAGTCGGAGATGCTTGGCATCCGATGACTCCCAATCTTGGGCAAGGTGGTTGTTGTGCCCTAGAAGATGCTGTAATTTTGGCAAGAAAACTTGCAGATGCCATCAGCCACGGATCTGATTCATCTGTGGAGGCTGCTTTTAGATCATATGAAAGCGAAAGATGGCTGCGGATATTCCCATTAACAATACGGGCAAATGTGGTAGGATCACTTCTGCAGTGGGAGAATCCAGTTGTGTGTTCTGCACGAAATAACATTGTTATACCTAAGCTGGTAAGGCTTGGACCAATTTTGGAGCACACCAACTTTGATTGTGAGCCGCTGTATGATGCAAATATATGAAGATGATGAAAAGAAAGTGGGACATATTGCTTCTTCATTGGTAGCTTGTTGTACAGATATCCTGGTTGATAAAAATATATACGAACTGGTCATTTTCTATACTGTACTGGATATACATTTATAGGGGATATCTATACATTCTCTGGCAAAACACTTATACAGAACGAGCCCGAATGTTTGCAAGCTTTACCCTTCAACTCTATTTGGTCATTTCTTATCTAATTTCTTGTGCATTTTTTAGTTCTTCATATTAGCTTCAGATATGTTTCTTCTGAAGTAAGTTCCATAAATCAGTGCCCTCAGTCATAAATAAATAGTTACTATGCAATCAGAATCTCATAATTTTCATTCACAAAAAGTACAAGCAAGTTGCCATTATCAAAAGTGAGCTTTCTTCAGGAATTCTTTTATAAAATGTGAAGCTCCAAGAAATAAATTTTTTAGGAAAATTCATGCCTAAACTACTAAATGATTGAGGCATATGCTTAATACTCACACAAGATGATGATACCTGTGAGAATAACAAAATGTGATGTATGGCACAAGTCCAAGATCCCGGGTGAACTCTGCAGTTCTAAATTTTTTAACAAACAGCTCCATGAAGGGATGTTGCTATAGATCTTCAAGTTCTTGATTCTGCCAACAATTTTACAATCATGTTAGTCGCGGAATTGACTAATATAACCTCATTGCAGAACATCAGCATCAAAGAATGTATATCATGCTTGTAAAACACTCATATCATGGGGGCAGATAATGCCAATACATATCTTCTCCCCTCAGTCGTCTTTTTGGCTAATTGCAGACATTATTGCTGAAAAAATATTTGCTAGTAATGAGAGCATCTTAATCCCTATATCACTATTTGAAATCATAGTTAAACAACCAAAAGAAGGCATTAAAGTGCAATCAATCCCAGGCTGCAAACACAAAATTCAACTTGCTATAACCGAGAACCTTCTACCAAAAAATCAGCACAGACAACTTCGTGTAATGCAAAATGCATCACTACCCCTAGCTGTTAAGCCAATGAGAACATGCACCATGGAAGACAGAGGAATACCTCTGATCATTTCAAACCAGGCTAACATTGACCACCAAAGATGATAGCAAATAGCACGAGAGATTCATGCACCAGACAAGCAGAGGATTCTTCAAACATAATATGCGACTTCCTTAAAGAAGTAGGGTTGAGAGAAAGAAAGATCGAGCATCCTATAAGGCCAAATAAATTTCTCAAGTTGAAGACTTTACCAGAGAAGTTTTTAGCACTTGGTTAAACACTAGGGATGGATTGAAATGCGATGGATAACATATAGACATTCTGGAGTTGTTTTGGGAGCTGAGAACACAGAAGACAATCCCCAAATACTCAAAAAATTAGATCTTCCAAGGTTACATAGCATGTAGATCTGCTAAGATGGCAATTAAATGTGAGCATTTCTTCCACCATCAAAGAATACTTAGAAGGAAAAGTTGGGCTAGCCTCTTTCATTTAGGAAAATGATGCACAGTTGTAATCTTTTAAGTTGGACAGGAACCCGGTTGGAATTAACTTAGGAAGCTTTTAAGAAGCACTTATCTTGCATTTTGGATGCTGGAATTTGGAGTCACAAACTTGAGGAACTCTTTTAACTTTTTCGAGTCAGAATTGATGGAGGACTACGATCACCACTTTGAGCAGTTGATAGCACCTGCAAGCACTCCTACTCAAGAGAAAGAGGTATATACTTTTATGTGGTTTGCAAGATTATATTGTTGTTGAAATCGAATTGCAGCAACCTAATGCCCTAACAATTGCCATGGGATGCAAATTGATTAGAAGATCCTACTTCATCAATCATTTAAGTTGGGGAGCGATCAAAGAGAAACATTTTTTTTTTCTAATAGAGATCAAAGAGAAACGTGAAGGAGATTTTGTTTTAAATGTGACGAAAGATTTATTCCCTGTCCATAAATGAGAGAAAGAAAAAGAAAGTTTTTTAGTAGGAGGGTGTTGATAAACGTGAAAACCAAATAGAGGAATAGATACTACCTTAGAATCCTATGTAGGTGGAGCATTATATATCATTTTTACCTTTCTAATTCTCTTGTGGGTGGTCACTTTTTTCCCAGGTAGTTTTATGGGTCTCTTGTGGAGGTTACTTATTGTGTAGTATGTAGTTTTATGGTTCGCATGTGTATGGTTACTTGTACCCGCTGAGTAGTTTTATGGCTCACTTGTGGAGGTTGCCTAATTGTAGCATGCAATTTTATAGTTCTATTATAACCATTAGCATTATGCATTGTTTTAGAATAAAAAGATCAGGCAAGATTTTATATGAAAAGAAAGTTGAGTTTCTTCCAGAACTCGAAAATTGTTAAGTTGTAATATACGAACTCAAAATTAGTTCGAAATTAATTTTAAAATTAAAAAATATATATAAAAATATAATTTATAAATTTTTATTTAATGTAAAATTATAAAAAATAGGTTAAAAATAAAATTGAAATAATTTTGAAAAAAATAGGTAAAAATTTGAGTTCGAAAAGTATTTTTGAAAGAAAAATCAGAAACTGTAGATTAAAACGCAATTAAAAAAAATTGCGCTACGTAGGACCACCCAATCAGCAGCCCCGATGAACCGGAGCGCCGCGTGGTAAGGCACGCTGACTCGATGTCAAGTGAGACCACGCTGGCAATCCGCGTACCCGTGATCAGACGACGCGGATGCGTTCCCGTGCACGTGGACGATCCGGATCCGTTCCCTCCTCAGACGCAATCGAATAGTCGCGATTAAACGCAATGAACGGTTCAGATTTGTTCTCTCTTTAAACGCGATCATACGGTCGAAATCAAATTGCGATGAATGGTGCAGATTCATTTCCTCTTTAAACGCGATCAGACAACTGAGATCAAACGCAATGAACGGTCCAGATTTAAAGAAGACGAGTATAAATATCTCGCATCACACCGAACCCAAACCCTAACTGCCAGCCTCCCACCAGAGAAGAAGAACCAATCGTTGGAGAAGGGAGCCGACCGTCGCTCGCTGCCGTGCTGGAGCCACATTCAACCGCTAAAAAAATGTAAAAATTCTCCTATCCGCTCGGAATTTGATTCTGAGCACCCCCATGATCAAATCGGAGTAAAAAGAACGGCGGATGAGCCGAAAACCGCGGACAAAACCCAAAACCGCATCCGATGAACACCTTTCTGTTTCTCATTTCGTGCGATTTTTCCACCATTGTGTTCACCGTTCTGTTTTCTACAAGTTGACCGAAGAAAAACGCTCAGCCGTGAAGGTGAGCTGGCGGAGCCGCTGCATCGAAAAATTCCGCCGTCAGTAGGTTTTTGTTTTTTGACTTTTTTCGGCTAACCAAGACCCACTAACGTGTTTTCTCGCAGGGACAGATATAAAACCGACCGAAACCGACCAAAATTGACTGAAAACGGCCAGGCCAAGGCAAACCACCACCGCGGGCAGCAGTGTCGTCTCCGGAGCACGACAGTGCCGCCATGCTGGAATTCCGAAATTGGGCGAAAAAAATTTTTAACACCGATTTTGGATTTTTTGAGATATTTTTAGGTCCGTGAAATATGTTTTAATCTCCGCGAAAAAAATTCAAGAAACCCAGTGACCGTCATTAGGCATAACTGAAAGTTAGGTATTTCAGACACCGATTCGGGTAAAAATCCATCACCTTATTTTCTGTTATGGAATTAAAGTTTAATTATCAATAATACAGTATTTTGCGTAATTTAAAAACTTTGAGAATTAATTACAGATTACTAATGGAGTCAAAACTGGTTATTTATTATTGTTTGCCCTGTTTAACCGATTATTTGATTTTACAACTTTAAATGCATAATAATATACTGAAATTGGTAAAATGATTCAGTTATGTTTCCTTGATGCATGTATTGTTTGTCTTGCATTGATTTACGGTTAAATTGTGAAACTAAAAATTAAATGTAAACGAAAAATTGATTGGTTAAGTAAATAAATGAATGGTGGCCTTACTGTATATCCTGAGAGATGGTGGACGGACCGAGTACATAGGGAACCCTACCGTGAACGTCGCCTCATACCGGACGGGGTATCAAGAATTAATATTTTTGGCGCTCATATCAGACAAGGTATAAAAACGGTCGGTTAATTGATAATGTTGAGTAATGATTATAGTAGGACATCTCTATGAGCCCTCAGGGATACCAGTAGATAAAAAAAAGGAAGGTTACTTTTCTTCCTCACTTGAATATAAGATTTGAATGTTATTTGGATTATTATCTCTATATGTCAATTTTGGAAATCTCGCAAACGGTAAATATATGCAATAAATGATTTTCTTTATAATAAATGAATTTACTTAAACCAAGAGCTCCATTAGTTGTTTTATAATTTTTACCAACTTTCAGTTTCTGTATCGATGAATAGTGTAATATTCTTACTGGACTAATATACTTCATCATTTTATTAATTATTTTAGATCAAGAGGAACAAGACCCAAATCCCGATGAACAAGAGGGTTATGAATAGTTCACCACCCGAACTCTCTTCAAAAGCTAGTGAAAGTCGTCCTAGAATACTCAGCATATTACCTTTTATTTATTTCCTTAATTTTGTTTGTTCTTTTAGAAAGATCGTTCTCGTAACATTATTGGACATTTTAAATTACTGTGTAAGAAATGTAAACCCTAAACTCTATTATTTCGCTTTCGCATTTAATTCATCACTTTATTTCCTTTTAAGTTCCGGATTTTTACAGTTAGTATCAT